AGTGAAGTGTCTCAGTCACAAAAGGAAAAATACTGCGTAGTGCCACAGTTGTAAAATGGGACTGACTTCGGGATTGTGGAAAACGTAAGAAAAGGGGATAAATAATGTGTACTGCATTGAAACAGATGAGGGTGAGAACTGTTTAAAAGAGGTATATGATTAGGTATTATTGTCATGACAGGAGTCTAGAACGAAAGCTGCATAGTGGAGTGGACTTGGGGGAAGGGATTGTATACCAATGAAAGAATTTTTCTTTTACTTTTCAAAGAGAAGAGTGAACTGACGGGGCTGGGTAGATAGGGAGAAAAGTGCAACAATGAATGAATGGAAATCCAAAATTTGTAAACTTTCATTAAAATCATAAATGTTTACTAAAGGATTAAAAAAAAAAGTTATCTGGAGTAAAAATACCCAGCTGTTCTCTAGCCATACTTTGAATTTTATCTTACAAAACTTTAGAAAAAGCAGTTATCAAATACCTGTTTTGTGATTGTATTTAAAGTCAATCAATAACTGATCTCTGTTTCTAACAGTCAGGAATCAAAAGATGAATTGCATTAGGAAAATCTACTGTAGAGGACCTCTCCAGAATGCTGAAGAGCAATTATGTCAGACAAGGGACTAAGATGTGCGTGATTCAGGCCATAGGCTTTGCAGTTACCTGTTATGTATCAGAGAGCTGGGAAATGATCAAGGATGAAAAATTGATGCCTTTGAGTAGTAGTCTGGAGAAGAGTATTGAACATACCAGGGACTGCCAAGAGAACTAACAGTCTGACCTGGATAGGGAAAGCCAAGCTGTTTCTTGGAGGCAAGGATTTTGAGGCTGTGTCTCATATATTAGGCACATGGCCAGGAAGGACCAGTTCTTAGAGAACGACATCATGCTAGGAAGGGTATAGGGGCAGTGCAGGAGAAGACCCCAGATGAGATGGATTGACACAGTAACTGGAGTAAGGGGGTTAGGTAGGTAGGTGTTATCAGAGACAGTGAGATTGCCGCAGGATAGAGCAGGGTTCAGAGTTATTGTGCATAGGGTTGCTGTGAGTTGTGATCTACTCAATGGCACATAACAACAACATTGATAGTAGATTATTAAAGTGGTTATTTTAACTAAAATAACATCTTCATATTTACAAAATAAGTTACTTAAATTCCAAGTTAGTTACCTGCAAAGTTTAATTGAAGGTTACTGACTTTCAGAAAAAAGTCTACTTCTGTAAAAATTTGCAGCCTTGGAAAGTGTGGGCAGTTCTATTCAGTTCTGTGGGTCTCTTTAAGAGAATCAACTTAATGGCAATGGATTATTAATGAAGATTTGGAAAGTAAAATAACTGTCTACCTCCCCCTTCCTCTAGCAGAAAATGTGAAATTTTCTTACAGAGAGAAAATGTGAATTCCTTAGTAGTTTAATTTTCTCAAATTTTTCAGACAAAAAATGATTTATATTATTAACTTTAAAATATATTATATATTTGCATTTTAAAACTCCAGTAATACTTTTTTAGGTATAATACATCTAAGATAAAAAAAATAACCTAGATATACGTTGTCTAAGTTGTATTTAAGAATGTGAGTGCTACAATCTGAAAATATGAATTAAAATTTTAGTTCTGCAACCTACCAACCGTGTCAACTTAGATAAATCATTTAAATCTATTCTTATCTTTAAGAGATAGGAATAAAATAGTAACTACATCGAAGATTTGTTATAAGGAATTATATTTGGAAAGTACTTAGTTTAGAAGCTGAAATGTAAGCAGTCAGGAAATGTTCTTATGACAGTTATATAAAGTAAAAAAGATTTCTGTTAAATATTGTTTTAAAAAATTCCAACACTTATTGTTGTAGAGTCAGAATCAACACAAAGCTGACCCTCCAGCAGGTATTCAGAGGCTCTAAATTGCATAGGAGATTGCACATCTTTCTTCTGTGGAGCAGTTGGTTGACTTGAATCCCCAGTATTTGGATTGACACTGCAATTCCCTACCCACTAAACTGCCAGAGCGTCCTTCCTATTAAATACAATCACTTAAATTTCTATTTTTCTTTTAATAGTTTTATATTTGCAAAATTTAAGAAATTACTCTTTAATTAGCCTCTCAATAACATAAGTGAATCTTGTTTTCTAATTTAACTGTGTATCTGAAAACACAAAAATGTTATCTGTTAAATACATTTTCACCTGCATCTTCTGAACTTAAAAGTACTCCTAATTTTTTTGTTTGAGTTTTTTTAAGGGATGGGTGTATATATCATAGATATACTTGAAAGTAAAATTAACTTTTATGTATGTTTGACAGAAACTATATGAATGAAGCGACATCCTTTCTGGAATTTTGAGACATCACTTCATCATGGGACAGCAAATTTCGGATCAAACGCAATTGGTTATTAACAAGTTACCAGAAAAAGTAGCAAAACATATCACATTGGTTCGAGAAAGTGGCTCCTTAACTTATGAAGAATTTCTTGGGAGAGTAGCTGAACTTAATGATGTGTAAGGTTTACTTTTTTCTTAATTTTGATGTGTGTCTCCTATAGTATGGCTACATGAGAAATACTCAGAGATACTAATTGGTAAATCTGATCTTAATGGTATTTTTTCTACTTTAATTGCAACCATTTTCAGCAGTAGTTAGCAAATACATATTGAGCACCTATCATAAGTAGATTTCCTATGTAGTTATTTTAAAATATGTAATGGGGACAAAAGAGATTAAAGGAAATTAAAATTGAATTTTTAAGACAGCACAAAGATACTAAAGCAATATTAGAATATACAACATATATCTCAGTCATTGTACATTGCTGGTGATGACAGCTGTCATTGAGTTGAACTGTCGTGCACAACTGAACAAAAAGCTGGTCAATCCCATACCATCCCTGTAAGTGGATTTTAGATGCCACCTTTGTGATCTATAGATTGTACACTAATGTACTGTTATTTGATTTCTGCTTTAAAGTTCTCTACAGATGAATAACAAAAGGGAATATGCCAATTAGCACCTCTAGAGAAAGGCTCCTGGGATAATGAAAGGCATTATTAAAAAGATCTCTATATCAACCAGCTGGAAGCAGGAGCGGCATCCACTTCCAAAATGGCTTGCCTCTGGAAACTCTTTGTACGAACAGTGCTCAGGCTGTTCGTTCATAGGGTCGCTATGAGTCGTCTACAACTCGACGGCATTAAACAACAACAACAACATATCAACCAGTTTAGCTGGTTAAAAATATAAATCCTGTGTGCTTGCTTATTGAGCCATTTTGCTAGAGAAATACATACACAGTAATAGCTCATTTTTCATCACTGAGAAATTAGATATTTCATTTATTAATATTTTCTAGTTAGATTATACCATTTGGATCCCTGTTTAATCATTATGAATATAATTTTTTTCTAAAATGAAATATAAATATCTCTGCTTTCTTTCAGAGGAGTGCTAGTGACATAGTTCATACGGAGTTGTGCCCCTATCTCCAAAGTGGCCCCTCTCTGCCCTTTAGAATTCAGCACCTGCTTCATGAGAGAAAGATGAGCAGTCTTCCCATGCAAAATTTATAGCCTCAGAAAACCCACTGGAGGGTCAGCTCTGAGTAATTTCCAACTTGATGGCAATGAGTTTGAGTTTTTTCTACCTTCTTGAACGTCACAGTCAACAGAATTTAGTGTTTTGTTTATGAATTAGAGTCTTTATTAGATCAGTTTGTACTAGTCTGTATAGAAACTATTGAAATATACTGGATACTCTATCCCTCAATGACCCAGACTGCTGTCTTTAAAAAGATTACATTTATATGTTTTATTTCATAGTGATCATTGGCTAAAAATCTTTATAGCTATTAAGCTATCCATACTCACCTCTCTTCATATATATATATATATATATATATAACTTTTTAATTATTTTCTTTTCCCCTATAAGTAAAAATATTGTTCCATTTGTGGTATAATCTCATTTGGATTTGCCTCTTAAATGAGATCTTATAGTTTTCTTTAGTCTATTCAAGATACCTACTGAGCATATGCAATGCGTATGTCACCCTGTCAACTTGGGTATTTTAACTTGGGTATTTTAACTGAGGTCTAAAATGATTACCCAAGAAGCCCTGGTGGTGCAAACAATTAAGCTCTTAGCTGCTAGAAGATTGACAGTGCGAACACACCAGCTACTCCATAGGAGAAAGACTTGGCAATGTTTTATAAAGATAAAAATCAAGGTACCTCTTTAAGGCTGTTCAACTTTGTCACATGGAGTTGCTGTGAATTAAAATCAACTCAATAGCCCCCAACAACAACAATAAAAATTTAAGTTATTACTGATAGATCCAGTACTCCAAAGTCTAAAGTTCTTTCCATTGTTACACACTGTTGTTCTTCTTATATGTCTGTGACTCATAGTGACCCTATGTACAGTAGCTCTGAACCCTGCCCTATCCGAGCCAGTCTCAAAACTGACACACCTACTACCTCCATTACACTAGTTACTGTGTCAATCCATCTCATCTGGAGTCCTTCTTTATTGCACTGTCCCTCTACCCTTCCAAGCATGATGTCCTCCAGGGACTGGTTCCTCTTGGCCACGTACCCAAAGTATGTAAAGTAGAATTTCAAAATCCTAGCCTCCAAGGAGAAACTTGGTTTCACCCTCTCCAATACAGACCTGTTTATTGTCTTGGCAGTCCATGATATGTTCAGTACTCTTCTCCAGCACCAAAGCTCAAAGGCATCGATTCTTCTATCATCTTTAGTCATTGTCCAGCTCTGCTGCATAGCAAGTAATTGCAAAGACCATGGCCTGGATCAAATATACTTTAATCTCTAGACTTTAGAATTTGGAGATGTCCTTAACAGCCAACTTCCCCAATGCAGTTTAGATTTCCTGACTGCTTGTGCTAAGATTGTCATTACACATTGTTGTTGATTGCCTTCGAGTCAAGCACGACTCATAGCAACCCTATGAACAAAAGGCCTGAAGGCTTTCTATAACTATCGACATTTATCAAAGTTCATAGAGTTTCCAGAGGCATGTTGTTTAGGAAGTGAATGCCACTCCTGTGCTTCCAAGGATTACACGTTACCTTTCCTTAAAACCAGTAAAGGTCACATAAAATCAGTAGCCATCTACAACAGCTTATTATGTGGACTTAACATTGCTCCGGTTGTTATATGCTGTCAAGTCAGAATCTACTCATAACTGATACCATGCTGGGTTTTCAGAGGCAGTATATCACACAATAAGAGACGATCTATTTTTCCCTATAGAACACAGCTGGCATATTAGAACTGTGTGCCCTTATGTTGGCTGTGTAATTCCTTACCTACTAGTATAATAGTAATTGTTGTTGTTGTTGATTGCCTTTGAGTCAAGCACGACTCATAGCGACCCTATGAACAAAAGGCCTGAAGCCTCTCTGCAACTATTGAGTTTTTGGAGGCATGTTATTTAGGAATTGGATGCCATTCTTGCTTCCAAACCTGTCATAGAATTTATTGGTTGAGTCACCTGCAATGTATAGCAATCCTATGTACAGCATCTCTGAACCCTTCTCTTCCTAAGCCAATTTCACTAATTCTGACACACCAACCCCCATCACTCCAGTTACTGTATTAATCCATCTCATCTGGGGTCTCCCTCTCCTGCACTGTCTTTCCACCCTTCTAAGCATGATGTCCTTCTCCAAAGACATATCTCTCCTGGCCATGTGCCCAAAGTAAGTGAGGCGGAGCTTCAAAATCCTAACTTTGAAGGAGAGACTTGGTTTCACCCTCTCCAAGACAGACCTATTTGTTTTCTTGGCAGTCCAGGGTATGTTCAAGACTCTTCCCTAGCATCGCAACTCGAAGGCATCTATTCTTCTTCTATCATCCTTAGTCATTGTCCAACTTTCTGAAGCATAACAAGTAATTGAGAAAACCATGGCCTGGATTAGGCTCATCTTTAATAGTCACTATTAATAGTTTAGGGTAAAACAGATCAACCTAACTCCCATTGCACTTTATGATAACAATATTAGATGGTACAAGACATACTTAACACTCTAGACACTTGGCACATTAGTTAAAATGAAATAATTTTTTTATGGAAATGACTGGAGTCTACTGATACTATCAGTCAAGAAGCCCCTGATGTCATAAAATTTAAATGTAAAAACAACACATTTTTAGAGGTTAACTCAATACCATGCTACCATATTAACACCAATTTAGATCAGTTTGAAGACATACTTAGATAATTCAGCTCTCTTTAATCATTATTAATATTTTTATGAGTACCCATGGGCATATCAGCCTCCACTAAGTGACTTAGAGATAAATAAATTGAGTCTTTCAAAATTTAACATCTATTGGGGGGAAGCGATGGGCAGGGAGTAAAGTACGGCAATGAATGAATGAAAGGAAATCCAAAGTCTCTGTAAACTTTCCTTAAAATAAATTTTAGAAATTAACATCTAGCCCTAGGTAACAAAGCCTGCCAGACAAAGTAATTCAGTTGTGCCAGTTCCTAGTTCCGTTTACTAGTTCTAAAGTCATGCTTCTTCTGTATAGGGTTAGCCTTACAGTCCTCAGACAGCACTGCCCTGTCAAACACCCAGCTCTGAATCATGGAGATTGGTTTTGAGACTATTGGATTGTCTTCCTTAAAAATAACGAAAATTTCTCTCTGTACCTATATATGCATAGAAAGTAAGGATGCATGTTAAACTTCTGTTTGTGTGTAGATAGGAAATTGCTGGAGAACAAGGCAGTTAAGGGAGTTTTGCATTTCACTGTATTTTAATAATGTCATCGTTTATGATAAAAATGTAGCTAATCATGGGTTTTAAAAACCTTTAGCATCTTACTCTTTTTTCCTCTTTTTAAAAATTATCCAGGTAGTAGTTTTTGAAACATTACTTTTAGGAGCATATTTCTTTTTTTATTTATTGTGATTTGAATGAAAGTTTATAGAGCAAATTTAATTTCTATTTAAGGAGTAAAATTTGGTTGAGAATTTTAGCAGTATAATAAGAATGGACTGTGGTTTTATCTTTATTGTTTCAATTCTCATCAATGACATTTATAGTTCCTTTAGAGTCTTAGAATTTATATATTTATATGTGTGTTATCTCCAGTCTATAAGTTTTCTTTGAATAAAATGTGTCTTAGGAAATTGTCTGCAGGCAGACAGAGGTAACAATTACGAACACCTTCATTTTCCTTATTTAGCACAGGACATTTCTCATCAGTTTTGGTTCTTAAAACCAATCCCCATAGGTCAGAGTTGGGTGTTTGATAGTGCAGTACTGTCTTTGGAGTGTAAGGCTAAAACGACACACACTAATTCACAAAGGAGCATGTCTTTGTAGTTGGAAAATAGGACTAGGAACTGGCACAACTGAATTATTTTGTCTGACAGACTTTATTACTTAGGGACAGTTGTTGATTTTTGACAGACTCAGTTTATTTATCTCTAAGTCACTTAGTTGAAGAGGATATACCCAGGGATCCTCAAACAAAAATGTTAACAATGATAAGAGAGCTGCAATATCAAAGTACCTACCTCTTTGGACTGACCTAAATTAGTGCTGATAGCGTGATAGTGAGTTAATCTCTAAAAGTTTTAAATTTTCACTTTACAATCTTGTAACTCTCTAAAATAACTCTGCTAGGGAAGGATAGTAGAACCATATTTAAAGTATCGTAAAATAATTTGTTTTGCTTGATTTGACCTCAGATTATCTATAAAATCTTTTCAAAGGGAAATGTTTGTGTTGTTGCTTAAATAAGCACAGTGAAGAGAAAGAGTTCTTTATATACAACTGAGATAACAGTAAAAAGTTGAATAGGTGAAAACAGATAATCCTTTTGAGTAGTTTACTTTTTGAGATAATCCTTTTGTATAGTTCATTGTTTTTCAAATTGTCTTTGTTAAAAATTGAAAGACCTCTGTGATATAGATACTAAAAGAGTTTTCTAACTATTCCATTATACTTTTGACTTAAAGCTTCATATATAAAGTTGTGTGTTATGTAAGTTCAAAACATTGTTTATTCATCTCTTTATTTCCCCTTTTACTGGCTTACCTTATCCAACACTTGTTCTCTCTCCTATCATTCTTATCGTCAATAATATCATTAGCATCAATTTTTAAAAATCTTATGTTTTAGGCAAGTGTGTCAATTAATTTTTACACAGATTGTTCCATGATATTGATAAGAAAACAATGTAGGTGTCATTGGTTTGGATAGTTCTAGCCTCCACCATCCTCATAAGGGGAGACAGTCCCGTCTCACATCATCAGCACAGAGTCAATTCCTATGAAGTCAGACATGCCCCACACTCCCACACCTACTTCTAGCCCTTTTTAAAAACTTTTTTTTAACTTTATTTTGTTATTTTGTTTGTTTGTGTATGTACTGTCAAATTGGATCTGACTGGTATAGGAGGAGATGGACCCTCCTTCTCCAGCAGAGCATCTGGTGGATTTGAACCACATATCTCTCTGATTGCAGTGCAACTCCTTGCCACTAGGCCACCAGAGCTCCCCTCCTTCTAACCCTTTTAACACCAACTAGTAGTCTAGTGGTAAGCTGTACTGTAATCCCAAAGGCATGTAGTTCAAAGCTGCTCCATGGGATAAGGATGGACAGTCTCCTCTTGTGCCATCTACTGCCTCTGAAAACTCCCTGGAGGGTCAGCTGTGTGTCAGTTCTGACCCAACAGTACAGCACAACACACAATAATGCCTCCCGAGGCTCTCACGCTCTGCTACTAGATCTATTGCTGTGGCCACACAGAGCTCACAGACCAGGCTTAAAATTATTAGGTTTATTGAGAAAGTTAAAAGGGTATAATTTTTAATTATAAATAAGATACAGTTTTTCAATCAGGACAGCTTTTCAGGTATGCCAGAAAGTCCTCTGACCTTCATCCTAATGACTGGGCCAGTGTTATAAAGCTCTGTTAGAGTTACTAGTTATGGCGTCTGATCCTACCCCTCTAGTAAGCTTGGACAAAGGCCGTGGCTCCATGGGGTGGCTGTTCCACTTTGGCTCTGTCTCACATGAACCTCTGGTTCTTGGCTATTTCTGATTCTCCAGCTGTGTTAGTCTAGTCCTGGTCTGTCTTGCACAGGAATCACTGATCCAAATGGACATACTGTGGTTTCTACTTCTCCTTTCTTGTTGGTAGCAGCATTCCCCTTTTATGTCTGAAGCTACTCAGTTGAAGGCTGGTGCAATGACAAAAGACTGATCTTCTCGTTAATAACCTACACACCTTATTTGCATATCTCCACCAATAAGGTGTTATTTACCTCATTCACTTACTAGTATAGCCCTATCCAGTTAGGTAAAGAATTGATGCCTTTGAGCTGTGGTTTTGGAAAAGAGTACTGAAAATCTTATGGACAGCCAAGAGAACAAACAGGTATATCTTGGAGAGAGTGCAGCCAAAGTGTTTTTTGGAGGCAAGAATGATGAGACTTCACCTCACATACTTGGGGCATGTTTCTAGGAGGGACTATTCCTTAGAGAAGGACATGATGCTAGGAAGGGTGGAGGGTTGGTGAAGAAGAGGAAAACCCTCAAACAGATTGACACAGTGACTCTCGCAGTGGGCTTAAGTGCTTCAGGAAGTGTGAGGATAGCAGAGGATAAAACAGGGTTCAGACCTTTTTTTCAAAAGGGTCATATGAGTCATACTCAATTTGATGGCACCGAACAACAACAACCACCACCCAGCTATATACCAAAACTCAAAGCCAATAGCTAGGAAGGTAATTTTGAAAAATCAACCTACTGTATCACAGTTATGCCTAGTAGGTAATAAGTTGTATTGCCAACACAAAAGCAGGCAGCTCAAAACCACAAGCTTCTCTGCAGGAGAAAAATAGGCAGTCTCCTCCTATGTGATTTACAGTCTCTGTAACCTGCTGTAAACCTCCTGGAGGGTCAGCTATGAGTCCGTTCTAAATAAAAAACAATTGGTTACATATTTTACAATGTTTTAGCATTCTCATTTCCATTCTTTTGGTTCTTTCTTTATTAATCTACCTTCCTTACCCCTCCTTAGCATCTCATCTTTTTAAGGGTAGATGTTGACCTTTTGATAATAAATAGTTGGTTACTTAAGGAAGTATATTGCTCAAGGGTGATATTTATTTTATAAGCCAGTTTATTTGGATGCAAGGTGACCACTAGGAATTACTTCATTTCTAAGTTCAAAGGGTATCTTAGGGCAATCTTCTTGGGGGTTCCTCTACTTTTTATCAATCCAGTATCTTTATTCACATATTAAGAATCTGATTAATACATTGATTATCATTGTCTTTGTCTACTTGTTCTTGTTTTCTTTTCTCGAGGTGTTGCTTAAATTTTTTTATAAGACCATTATTTTGTATATGAATGTGAAATGAGAAAATTTATTTATCTCTTTTCAGAACTTCAAAAATAGCTGCTGGTCAGGAAAAACATCTTCTCTTTGAAGTACAGCCTGGATCTGACTCCTCTGCCTTGTGGAAAGTGGGCGTACGGATAGTCTGTACCAAGGTGAGACTGATAGAGACTTTCAACTCTGACCAAAACTGTTTTGATGAGTAGAATCCCACTAGTGTTATTTAGCAAACCCACTGGAGTCAAGTAAACTGTGACTCAAGGCAACGGCAACCCTCCTTGAAGTCCTGAGGCTGTAAATCTTTACAGGAGGAGACTGCCTAACTTTTTCCTTTGGAGGATGGAAGATTAGCAGATTGTACATTGCACATTAGGGGAACTAAGTGTTAATATTTTTGTGGTCTTGTAAAATATAGATTTAATAGTGCTGTTGCCTTCCAACTAATATTTAGATTTAATTGCTACGTACCACTCCCGATTGCCAGTGAATCAGTCTGACTCATAGCAACCTTTCATTGGGTTTCTAAGGCTGTAACCTTTTATGGGAGGGTACTGCCCATCTTCTTCCCTCTACACCATTGTTACTGTTTTTGTTATGGGCTATTAAGTCAACTGTGACTGATGCATTGTTGTTATTGTTGTTAAGTGTTATCAAGTCGGAACTGACCCATAGCTGACCCTCCAGCGTGTCAGTGAATCGCATTGGAGGAGAGTGACCATCTTTTTCCTGCCAATTGGCAGTGCAGCTCCTTAACAGTAGGCCACTAGAGCATATGTATGTGTGTAAATGAAAGTGTTGAGGGGAGCTCTGGTGGCCTAGTGGCAAGGAACTGCACTACAATCCCAGAGGTGCACGGTTCGAATCCGTCAGATGCTCTGCTGGGGAAGGAGGGATAATCTCCTCCTGTACCGGTCAGATCTGATTTGACAGTACACGCACACAAAAATAAAATTAAAAAAATAAAAAAAAATGAAAGTGTTGCAATACTGAAGGAGTCTATGTGCAAATATGAATGATGCAACACATCAAAAGAAATTGAAGGAATACAAAGTCACTGTACCAAAAAAGAATTGGTTGATAATGACTTATATCAAGAATATGATCAAGAACCAAAGAAAAATAAGAAAGCTCAAGTAGCACTGAAGGCATTGGCTAAAAGTTGAGGTACTTCAGCAAACAAATATAACCCTGGTCATGCTCACTGGTTTATGCCAAGAAATTGGAAAGCGATCTACGTGGCCAACTAACCTTGGTCTCATTCCAAAAAAAAGATGCCTCAACAGATTGTATAAATTGTCAGACAATATCATCAATATCAAATGAAAGTATTGTCAATATCAATAATGAAAATTATTTTAGAACTGCTGAAACAGTACATTAACAGGAAACTGCTAGCAATTCAAGCTGGATTCAGAAGAGGTTAGAACGAGGTATATATCACTGCTGATGTCAGATGGATTTTAACGAAATGTAAAGATGCATAAATAATAATGGGTGACTGGAATGCAAAAGTTGAGAACAGGGAAGAAGGATCAGTAGTTGGAAAACATGGACTTGGTGACAGAAATGAGGCTGGAGATAGAATGATAGAATTCTGTACAATCATTGATTTTATCCATTGCAAATACTTTTTATAAGAAACCTAAATGAAGACTATAAACATGGATTTTACTTGATGGTATGCATAGGAATCAGATCAATTACATACGCAGAAAAAAAATTATTAGAGAAGCTCAATATCAGCTATAACAACTAGGCCAGGTGCTGATTGTGGAACAAACCATCACTCATATGCAAGTTCAAGCTGAAATTAAAGAAGGTTAAATCAACAAGAACCAAAATTTTACCTTGAGTCTGTCCCACCTGAGCTTCAAAACCATTTCAGGAACAGATTTGAGGCCTTGAACACTAATGAGCTGTGGAAGAATATCAAGACTATCATCCATGAAGGATGCATTACAAAGACAGAGGAGGAAGAAGACCAAGAAGGATGTCAGATGAGACTCTTGAGTATTGCACTATAGTGCTGAGAAGCCAAAGCAAAGAAATTAAGGAGCCAAACAGATTTTAAAGGACAGCGCAGGAAGACAAAGCAAAGTATTATAATGAAATGTGCAAAGAGCTGGAGTCAGAAATTCAAAAGGGCCGAATTTGCTCAGCATTTCTTTTTTTCCTTCTTCTTCTTCTTCCTTCTTTTTCTTTTTCTTCTTGTGTACCGTCGAGTCAGATCTGATTGGCACAGGAGGAGATTTCCCCTCCTTCTCCAGCAGAGCATCTGGTGGATTTGAACCACATGCCTTCGGGATTGCAGGACAGCTTCTTGCCACTAGGCCACCAGAGCTCCAGGCTCAGCATTTCTTAAGTTGAAGAAACTAAACAACAAATTCCAGCCTCAAGTTGTGATACTTAAGGATGCATTGGGAAGAATATTAAATGATCCAGGAAGCATTAAAAGAAGACAAAAGGAGTATACAGAGTCATTGTATCAAAATAAATTGGCTGACATAGAAGAATTTCATTAAACAGTGTATGAGCAAGAACCTGTGATGATGAAGAAAGAAGTTCATGTTGTTATGAAGAAACTGGCGGAAGACAAGGCCCCAGGAATTGACAGCATACCAATTGACATGTTTTAACAGACTCTGTCCTGGATGCACTCATCAGGTTGTGCCAAGAAATCTGGAGGCCAACCACCTGGCAAACTGACTGGAAGAGATCCGTATTTATTCCCATTCCAAAGGAAGGTGATCCGACAGAGTGCAGAAATTATCAGAACACTGCATGGTTCAAAATTGGGTAGGGTGTATGCCAGGGATGCATCCTATCTCCATACCTTTTCAACCTATATGCAGAACAGATTATCCGGGAGGCTGGGCCCTATAAGGAGAAATGTGGGGTCAAGATTGGTGGACGATTTATCAACAACCTGCGTTATGCGGATGACACAACCCTGCTTGCTGAAACTGAAGAGGACCTGAAGTGCCTGCTGCAGAGTGTCAAGGACTGCAGCCTACAATATGGATTGAGGCTCAATGTCAAGAAGACAAAGATTCTCACCACTGGACCAATCGGCAGCATCAGGATGGATGGTGAAGAGATTGAGATTGTACACAGCTTTAGTTTGCTTGGCTCCATAGTCAGCAGTCTTGGCACCAGCAGCCAGGAAATTAAAAGGCGCATTACCATGGGAAAGTCTGCTGTTAGGGACCTCTCCAAAGTTCTGAAGAGCAATGGTGTCTCTCTGGAGACTAAGGTATGTCTGATACAGGCTATGGTCTTCGCAATCACTTGTTATGCATCAGAGAGTTGGACAAAGACCAAGGAGGATAGAAGGAGAATTGATGCCTTTGAGCTGTGGTGCTGGAGAAGAGTATTGAGAATACCATGGACTGCTAAGAAAACAAACAAATTCCTCCTAGAAAGGGTGAAACCAGGCGGCTCCTTGAAGGCAAGGATTCTGAGGCTCCGTCTAACATACTTTGGACATGTTGTGAGGAGAGACCGGTCCTTGAAGAGGGACATCATGCTTGGGAGGGTGGAGGGACAGCACAGGAGAGGAAGGCCCTCTATGAGGTGGATTGATTCAGTGACTGGGATAATTGGGATGGGAGTGTCAGAGACAGTGCGATTGGCACAGGACAGAGCGGAGTTTAGGGCTGTTGTACATAGGGTCGCTATGAGTCGCAAGCGACTCGACGGCACATAACAACAAACAATTATTTATATCACATGCAAGCAAGATTCTGCTGAAAATTATCCAAAAAATTACTGGAACTGCACATCAACAGAGAATTGCCAGATATGCAGACTGGATTTAGAAAAGGCCGTGATATTAGGGATAGTATTGCTAATGTTAGATTGATCTTGGCAGAAAGCAGAGAGTACCAGGGGAATATATGTCCGAGTTTTGACTATGCAAAGGCATTTGACTGTGTGGATCATGACAAACTGTGGCTAACTCTGAGAATGGGAATCCCAGAACATTTGATTGTTCTTATGTGAAACCTATCCTTGGACCAGAAAGGCAGTCATCAGAACAGAGCAAAGAAACACTGCATGGAAGGGTGTTGTATCCCAGGGATGCAACATACCTCCATATCTTTTCAATCTATATGTGGAACAGATCATCTGAGAGGCTGAGCTCTATGAGAAGGAATGTGGCATCAGGGTTGGAGGAAGACTCATCAACAACCTGCGTTATGCAGATGATACAATCTTGCTTGCTAAAGAAGGTCAAGGACTGCAGTCTTCAATATGAACTGAAGCTCAACATCAAGAAAACAAAGATTCTCACTACTGGGCCAATTGGCAGAACCATGATAGAAGGTGAAGAGATTGAGGTTGTTAACAGTTTCCGTTTGCTTGGGTCCACAATCAACACTCTTGGTACCAGCAGCCAGGAAATCAAAAGATTAATTGTATTGGGAAAGTCAGCTGTCAGTGACCTCTCCAGAGTACTGAATAGCAATGATGTCAGGGTGCGGACTAAGGTGTGCCTGATCCAGGCCATGGTCTTCACAATTACTTTCTATTCATCAGACAGCTGGACAGTGACTAGGCATGATAGAAGGAAAATTGATGCTTTTGAGCTGTGATCCTCGAGAAGAGTATTGAATATACCATGGACTGCTAGGAGAACAAACAAGTTCCTTCTAGCGAGGGTGAGACGAGGCTGCTCCTTGAAGGCAAGGATTCTGAAGCTTCGACTGACATACTTTGGGCATGTTGCAAGGAGGGACTAGTCCTTAAAGAGGGACATCATACTTGGGTGGGTGGAGGGACAGAACAAAGAGAGGAAGACCCTGGATGAGATGGATTGACTTAGTGTCTGGGGTAATGGGGATAGCTGTGTCAGAGACAATACGACTGGCTCATGATAGAACAGGGTTCAGACCTGTTGTACATAGGATCACTATGAGTTGCAAGTGACTTGACAGCACATAACAACATCATGGATATAAATGATAAACTGAGTATTCATGAATTCCTGAAGTATATTCCTGACCAAGCAATAGAGAACCCCTAGGTTAGGAGATAGTTCCCTTAAGAGCTTGGATGTTACACAATAATATGCCATGTTTCCTCCTCATGCTGGTCACCACTGTGCTTTTCGTATAGAAGAGTCAGTTACAGAGTTGATCCAAATTAGTAGTTTTAATTGTTTAAGTAGTAACAGAATTTTAAAGATAATTAGAGAAGGAAGAACACAGAGATTTTCATTTCAGCCTTCACCAAATGCCTCAAGTTGAGTGGCACCTATTAAAGTTTATAATTGCTTTAGATAAAATACAGTTTAACACCTTTCAGATGGGCTTATCTGCTCTTAAATTTTGCTTAATTTAGAAATACATTACATGTTAAAAGGCAGTATGCAATAGCTGCCAAAGAAAAAGCTTTCAAAATTTTTGTAGTATTAATCACAGAGATAGCTAATGTTTTAGTGACTACCACTATAACTTCTTATTTTGTACATATATACCACAGGTCAGATTGACAGAATATACATTAAAGTGCTTGATTCAGGATCTAGTTTAAAGTTATGTATACTTTAATCCCTGAGCTCAAAAATATATACCAACCACATTTTGGAGTCATTGTCTGATTTTTCTTTCAGTTGCTTTTATTGTTAGATTCATGTTATATTTACATTAAATTCTAGAAATTTTAAACAAGGTGCTCCTTAGAGATAAGGATGCTATGTCTCACATACTTTGGGCATGTTCTGAGAGAGACCAGTCCTTGGAAGAAGATGTCATCCTGGCAAAGATGAAGGGTTAGAGAAAGAGATGAGGACAACAAGTTGGATTGATAAAGTGACTGTAACAATGAGCTCAAGTGTACCAGAGATGGTGACGATGGTGCAGGATAGGGCAGGGTTCAGATCTGTTGTTCAGAGAGTTGCTATGAGTTACAGTCTACTTGATGGCACCGAGCAACAATAAAACAAATACCACATACCCACCTAACCCCAGTAACTGGGAATCTGCAACTTTTTTGCTTTATAAGGTAAAGACAAAGAAGAAATGAAGAATGAATTGCACTGAAAACATGGGAAACCATTCCTATAGGTTCAGTATGTCTCATATGCTTTCACTGCACAGATGTGAATTTACAGAGTATGTAATCTTGCAAAATGATTTAAAAATGAATTTGTTTAAAAGCCTACGGGAAATGGTAATTTTAAAAAACTTGTATTCTCATTCATTTCTTTCTGATCCGTCTTTTAAAGTAAACCAGTCATCTGGTCTTGTTGCTTTTACTATGTTTCACCTCGAATTTGTTGCTCTTGTTAAGTGCCATCAAGTCCACTACAACTCATAGCAACCCTATGAACAACAGATCTGAACTCTGCCCCGTCCTGCACCATATCACAGTCTATGTCATGCTTTCTCCCAATATGTTGTTGTTGTTAAGTGCCGTCGAGCCGCAGGCAACTCATAGTGACCCTATGAAGGAGTGTCCTCGATGCTTGGGTGCCTTTCATCCTCTCTCCAGGTTCATAGGGTTTCAGAGGCAAGCTATTATGGAAGTGGATGCCACTCCTCCTTCCAAGCTTGTTTTAATCCAGGAGCTCCACCCCACTCTCTGTCCGCATTGGGTGGCCAACTAAATTAATTACTATACCTTCAGGTTCTTCTTCTAATTATAACTTATGTTTCTATGAGATAATTCCTCTAAAACACAATTCTTTTTTTTTTTAATTTTTTTTTTCTAAAACACAATTCTTATCAGTCATTTTCTTGCTTAAAATTTACTCACTACCCACAAAAATTGTTCCAACTTTCTAATCTTATTACAAGGACCTCTAACGGTGTGACTGCAGCCTATTCTCTCCCTCCCTTTTCACTGCTATGTCAGTGCTCCTTTTATAAGGAGCTCTGGTGGTACTGGGGTTAAGACATTCAGCTGCTAACTAAAAATGTTAGCTGTTTGAACCTACTGGTTGCTTTTCAAGAAAAGGTGAGACGGTGTACTGCCATAAAGATTTTTACTCTTGGGAACCTAGGTGGTTCTACTCTGACCTAAAATCATGAGTCCGAATCAACTTGGTACCAGTAAGTATCCCTTTTTATACTCATTATTTTCACCAGGCTTAGCTAAATAAGGTATATCCCATTACTTTCCCACTTCAGTGCCTCTGCTTATGAAATTTCCTTCAACTAGTTTAAACAAAAATAAACAAAATGAATAGATAGGGATAGACAAAAAAGACTCTACTCATCACTGTACATAGACTTGGCAGATGATATTTCTGCATTCATATTCTCTCTCTTTCATTGCCTTCAAGTCAGAACTGACTTACACTTATTGCTCCAGTGCGTTTCCAAGTCTAAATCACACAGGCGGAGGGTGCTCATCTTTCTCTCTCTGAGTCATTTGTGATTCAGACTGCCGGACAGCTGCAGTCTTTGGGTTAGCAGCACAGTATATTCATGTAACTGTGCAGAGCCAATAGGAGGCATCATATGCAAACTTGTTCATCAGAACCAAAGTCCCTGAAAGAATTGAGTTGCTGGTCCTAGGGCCTTAGGACTCTAAGTCTCGGAAAATGTCAAGGTCAACTGACATAATATAGTACATAAAGACAGTGCTTTACATTCTACCTTGGTAAGTAGTGACTGGGGCCATAGGAGCTTATGAGCAGACATCTAAGGTGCAACTGTCATTCTCTCCCTTTCTGGAACAAAGAAAAAAGAAATTGTGTTCTTGTTTGTGCTATGGATGGTAGAGACAAGATGTCTGGCCTGGGATGGAATACTGCCAGTCCCACAGAAGGTTGGTGTTTGGGTGCCCAGTTAGGGCAGAGTTTCTGCTTATTTTTAAAATGGCTGTGTGCCCAAAATGTGTATGTGGCCATGGCCCCTCCTCTACAGCTAAAGCAGAAATCAAAGGGCAGGGTACCCAGCCTGAGACAGAGATTCTGCTGGCCCTAGAGTTGCCTGGGAGAGTCTACCTGGCCAGGGATAGTGCCTTTGCCAGTCCAGGTAATGGGTGCAGACAAGGTACCCAGTCAGAGATGGCACTTTCTGCTGGCATAAAGAGACAGTAACTGGCAATCTGAGATCTCCAATGATAATGCATAATGCATAAATGACACACTGCTCCAAATGTGAGTGTGGCTAAGAAATCTACAAAGGTACCCAGTGAGAGGCAAATACTCTGGTCAGTGGGGGTGCCCCTATCACTTCAGGACAAGCCTCAGCAGAAATGCTCCAAGAGATAGTGAGTCTGCATATGGAGATGTGCACACACTTCCAACACCAGAAAAAATTGGTGAAAGCCTGGCCTTGGATACGCCTGGGGCCAGGGTTGGGAACACTGTCAGCCAGACAGTAGGTGGTGGGGTGGGGTGAGGTCGTTCCCCTGATCCCCAAGAATGTATAGGGAACAAAGGGAAGAGTGTACCTTTGTTGTCCTCAGCCAGCTGCCAGTGTGGACAACAATGCAGTCTCATGTTGCCACACTGAGCAGAAAGCTGCCTGTTCAGAATGACCACTCTGTGCCGTCTACAGTTGAATGCTCTGTCTCCTTACTCAGGGTTTTCATTCTCTATCTTCCTTCTGCTGGTGTTTGAATTACTACTGGATCTATCTTTTTTAAACTCAGGGTTCAGGATTATATCTATTCATTAATTTTGTTTTCTGATGTGTTGAAAAGGATGTTGGCTGCTGCCTGCCTAGTCTTTCATCTTACCTGGAAGTTAACCCTCTATCTTATCTTACATACCATTTTCTGTGCTGAAAGGAAGTCTTTCTTATGTCTCTATATTTTCACCTCTGGTCCCGTAATATAATGATTCACCTGTTAAATCCAGCCTCAGAGTGCAAATCTCAACGGGACCTTTCCTAGGAGTCCCTCAGTAGTATAATGCTTCAGGTCTAACTACTAGCAGGAAATTTAGTAATTTCTAGTTTTCTATGAATAAGTGTTTTTTACTTATTTGGTTAAATTTAATGCTAGATATTTAATTCTTTTATATAGTATTATAAATGCAATTATTTTCTTATTTTTTTCAGATTGCTCATTCTAGATATCCACATATATGTATTTACTCACTGATTTTTGTGTGTGTGTGTCACCCTGTTTTTTGTACCGGTGTGCTGAGTATGTTTTGCTCTAGTAGCTTTTTGTGTGTAAATTCTTTGAGGTTTTCTATATGTAGGCTTATGCCATCAGCAAAAAGAAAAAAAAATTAAAACCTTGAACTCACTGCTATTGAGTCAGTTCTCACTCATATCAAACCTCTAATGGGTTTGTGAAGTTGTAAATCTTAACCAGAGGAGACTGCCTGCCTGTCTTTCTCTGCAGGTGGATTCAAATCACTGGAGACACTGGGCCTTTGGGTTAGCAGCACAGCACACTACAGACTATCACCAGAGCTCCTTAGTCGGAAAAATGCGGTAGCTAAATAAGGTTTTTTTACTATAGTTCAAAATAGCCATCCCGGGAAAATTCAGTTGCTTTTGTTAACATGTCCTTAAATGTGATTTTCTTGTTTTAGATTGAAAGTTGGCCTATAAAATGAAACTTGATATTCATGAAAGCAATCTACTGTTTCAGTTGCAATAGAATGGCAGATGATTGTTGGATACATTTTTTTAAGTAAAAGAATTGTATTTATATTTACATTAATTTCTGGAAAAGTTGCCTAACCTCATCAACTCTAAAAAGGGTGATGACTTCCCCATCTTACAGTATTATTGGAATTGGGAAATGATATAAGTTCGTGTAAATTCTTTAAGCTCCACAAATATAAGAAACATCATGTTATTATTTATTTAAATTTAAATATTGCTGTCTTAGTATATAATTTGCAAGCCCTAAAACTTTATTTCTTTGGAAATTTGACTATATATTTGTTTTTTGTTTTGGGTTTTTAAAAAAAAAAAGCACAAAAACAACAAAACAAACGAGCTTAAAAAATGTTCCACTCTGTTAAATGTTCCTTTGTGCTTTTAGATTAACAAAAGCAGTGGAATTGTGGAAGCTTCACGGATCATGAACTTGTACCAGTTTATCCAGCTTTATAAAGACATTACAAGTCAAGCAGCAGGAGTATTGGCACAGAGCGCCACCTCTGAAAACTCTGATGAGAACGCATCATCTGTAACGTCTTGTCAGGCTAGTCTTTGGATGGGAAGGTATTGCATGTGTAATTACTGTGTTTTACTACTTTTCCAATTTGTAGGTGACTTAATTTCATTAATATTTTTCAATGATATTTTTAAAGCCTATTACTTTTTGCCTTAGGGCATTTTTCAGATTACTCTATGCTTCAGGGCGTTGTTAGGATGACAATTTAAAGATAAAATAATTCACACCTGCTGATGTTTCAGTTCTCTCAGCTTTATGAGCTTTAATTTCATGACAAGGCAATAGTCAATGCCTCCCTGCCCCTTTTGCAGTAGGTATTTCAGTTCTAGACATTTAAAGCGCTTTGGAGAGTCAAGTCTAAGAGTTTGGAAAAATAATCCAAAATTAGTCTAGCTAACTGGAGTACTAAAATTTAAAGTATTGACTCCAGGACTTGGCAGTCACTTCAAAACCGAACAGGCAGTTGGTGCACGTGTTACATATACTGAACCACTAGAAGGAAATGAGGCCAGCCAGAGTTGTCTGCAATAGTGTGTGTTTACTCAGTCCAGCTGATACATTATTATTCTATCTAAACTTTCTTTTCCTTCTCTATTATACTTTAGCATTTGAATGTTCCCACCTGTTGCCATTTGACAATATGACCATAATTTAAGTTTATAAATACCTCATTGGAAAAACAACTTACGTGACTCCAGACATGTTGGCAACCTGTCTTGTTGTCATACTGGGCAGGCAATAAGCTTATCTATGTTGACTCTGTTTTATCTTAAAGTTGGGAAGGTATTACTTACAAACAGCATTGTACCATTTAGAGTTATGATTTTTCTGGTTCAGTGGAGCCAGCTAGTTTCAAAATACTGTGTGGTTCCATTTATCATTTCCTGTTTATCTTGATAAGTTATTTGATTTTATAGGTTTTAACTTCAAGTGTTAACTGACACACCAAATGAGATTTAGAGAATTGAAGTATTGTTTAGCAAGAGGCTTACCTTTTGTTGTAATCTTTGAAAGATAGGATTCTAGTTATATGTTTCTGTCTTCAGAGTGTTCATTTTGTGTTTTCAAAGCTGATAATAGTGCTTACTAGTATTCTTAAGGTCAGTAGTTGTTGTTGTTGTTGTTATGTGCTGTCGAGTCGTTTGCGACTCATAGTGACCCTATGTACAACAGCCCTAAACCGTGCTCTATCCTGTGCCAATCTCATTGCCTCTGACAAACCCATCC